GCAGCCCTAGAAGACAAGTTTGTTCCACCTCTCCAGAATTCTTTACGCTCTACTTCCCCACCATCGACGTCACGCTTATCAGATGAGCAATCTGTAAGCACGACTAGTTTCTCCACACTTGACTCTGCGTTTCCAGGGAGAAAGAACCCGGTTAAGGATTTTAAGCACAGATAAATAGCTTATTAGTCATTTAGCAACAACGTAACTAATTTGTAGTCAGCTTCGAATAAAAAAAGGAGCCAGAAAATAAGAAATGTATCCTCCATATGCTGTATCTAATGTCGCCACGTTGGTTTTTAATCTTAACGATATATTTCTTTGCTCTACTGAAGAACTTGAACTGAAGAGCATAAAGCTAGGTATCGATGGAACTGGTGAAGAAAACTCAGCTAGACTTGATTCATAGCAGCTGCTAAAAGAAAAACCTCCTGATGCAGGGCAAAAACTAACATTGTAAACTAGGAAACCTGAGAAAGATGATTTTCATGTGAATGCAGGTGATTGCCACAGTTCCACTTCACCAGCTGCGGGTGAGTCATTATCTAAGCTAAGGTTATGATTCCTATCGAATAATGGCGTAGAGAAAGAATTATTGGAGCATGAGCATGGCAGCTGGATCAATTCATCTCTGATGCTGCTGGGTTGAAGAAGTTCGAATTAGCCCAAGAGTTTTGTTTATAGTTGCAGTTTATAGATTTATAATGAACGGTCAAGATTATAACATCTTAATGGTGTATAACTTGACACGTGTCGTATTTGTTAAGAGTGTAATGAAAGCATGTGTAATGCACGTGATCATTGTCACGGTGCAATGGTGGGATTGCAATGGCTATAATGCTTAGTTTGTCGCTGAGTTTCGTGGATCGAATCCAATGAAGGTGCATGGAGCTATGAACTCCATTTTTTGTCCGAATCTCATCTTCATCATACTACGTACCTTCAAATTCATTTCAATTACTGATTGATTTGATTACAAATACACAGAAATCTAGCTCAAAACTCTCCTAAACACTAACAAGAACCTCTACCCACTTCCATCTGTCTGCAAACTCGGTTGTCCAGCTTGTGCGTCTCTTGACTTGCACATGCACGATCTTTCATCCTAAACCCTAAAATTCATAGAAACTTCATTTTAGCTCCGAATGTGATTCCGTTTGTGCCCACACGTTCGTATCGACGAATGCTACATGAATAAATTAAAAGAAAAATTCCTACATGTCAATGAGTGGAAGTCAACAGAAGTCAAAGCTTCTATCGTTAAGGGTATTTTCGTAAATTTAACTAATTAAAATGTAAATTTAAGACTCGACATCCATTAAGTATGTTTATCCTTGCATGCATATTTGGAGCTGGTGTATAATTTTGTCACTTTAGCTAGATCAGAGGAATGCGTTTGAAGCAACATTTTGAAAGCTAGAATACATCACACTTGTATGGTACAGGGATCGAGGTGAGACATAGTAGGCAATGCCTACGCAAATTCACATCGTTCTACAAGAAAGTTGACGTTCTTATCTTTCCCTAATGGCGGGAAGATTGTCTCATTGAAGTGACAATCCACAAATGAGCGGTAAAGAGATCGCTTGCGAGGGCTTTAAGAGAGCTAGTGTAAAGGAGAACGACGATCAACAAAGATTCACATCCTTTCTTTGAGGATCCATATTGGTACATTGTGGCAGTGCAACTTGGCACATGGAATGTATACCTAAAAGCGTAAGCACGAAATGTCAGGTTCATACCAGTAACCAACTATAATATCGAATAGGTTGGGTGGTAATGGGTCTCAAGGCGTACCAACATAGTTGCATTCAAGATTGCATAGCCCTACGTAGAAATCGAAAGCTTGGTGCATTCACCAAGGTCCGAATGATAATTTAAATTGCACTTTATGATTGCTCTGCAAGGATGTGTTGGGGTGAACATGGGAATTCAATGTCTAATTATAAAACCATGCAATACTTTATCGAAAACCTTGGATATAAACTCTTTGGCATCATCCAATCTTCCAAACCTTATGGGATAATCAAGATGGTGAACCCTTAAAATCGACCAGGAGGTTTAGCAGTAATGTGTGTGGACAAACATGTGACTAGTTTGTCGATTCATCAATTTCCCCAATGAGCAAATTTGGCAAAGTGTGCTTGTAAGCTCAAGATTCTTACTTTTAATAAGAAGATGCATCTAGCATCATTGTTCGACCTAAGTGTCCCAAATGGTCATGCCAAAACAAGTAAACTGCTTGAATCACTCGGCTCTAGGCCGGTCACATGTGGCGTGTCCTAGTTAGGAGGTATCCCATTGGCCTAAAATGAAGCTGCAAGCTCATTTTTTGAGGTGGTGCAATGATATATCACTCTATTTGCTTTAGTTGTTTCATTCATGATCATTGTTCTCTTGAATATCCTTAAAAATCAATAATGCTCTTCCAAAATAGGGAGAATATAAGTTCTCTTAAATGGTAATGCAGTACCATTCATACAAGAAGGAGCGTGCTAATGCTCTTAATCAGGTTAGATAGACTTGAAGTCATTGTTAGAGGTGTGATTTAGGTATAAGGTTAGTGTGCGTAGTGTTGCATTCATCCAGACAACTAACTCTCCCACATTCGTACCTAATCACATGTTTAATTGAATTTGGGCATATGTATACATGAAACATGATTTAGTTAACTTATATTTGTGGACAATATCGATAACATTATTCCTAACCAAAACAAACACCTAACATGAATCCAAGAATATAGAAACATGTTCACAAAGGAAACCAAAGTTAATAAGGGGAATCGGCCAACAAGGTCATTCATATCAAAATTCTGCTCTTCCAACAATGTTTGGTGGAGCAAAATTAGTCTCACATATTGACTATGAGAATGGTACTCCTCAACAACATTGGTAGGGGCACAAATGGGTGCATAACCAATGATCTATTCTATCAAAATGGAAGTAGATTCTATAGGGTTGAGGTTTAGGAATACTATCCCCTATTCTTGCATTTTAGGTCTTAGGTGTTAAGGGTCAGGCTTCGGGTGTGATGCCACACCTTGGCAAGCCCTGATTCTACCATATGTTGTAAAAATAAACTCGAAATTGGATTGTGAGAGAGGCAGACCAGATTTGGCTATGCATTTCGGTGGGCCCCAACCAAAACTGGGTATCACTTTTCGGTAGACTCCAGACAAAACTGAGTCTATACAGCTCTCTCATATTTGTGGTAGTAATCAAATATGAGAATTTGGTGAACTTCCGCTTTCTACATTGTGTTTCAGGAGCAAGTTAGAAACATGGAAGGACGAGAAAATTATTCTCCAGTCAAAATTCAACCAAATTTATGAACTTCAAAATTGTACTCATTCATGGACATAATCATGATGTGTTTCAGGCAATATCTTTCATGATTATACGATCCGTGGGAGTGAGCCAAAGAGCCATGGAATCCTCGTTTGGTTGGTAGTTCCATTTGTAATGCTTCAGGCATAAGTCTTTGAATGAAGATCATGGCAGATGCTTATTCAACTTCTTGATAGTCTACTTGAGATTCACGTCTTGTACTTACATAAAGTGGTTTTTGTTAGAAACATCCAAATTAGGGAAATCGAACTTGTGACGATTTGACAATCCACTAAGTGGAGGGAACAAGATTATGAATACTGCTATGAGAAATAAAACATCCATAAGCATCAAAGTTAGAACATTTGGGTTCTAAGACATAGTTTCCATGAAAAACTTTGAGTCTCCATGGGTGTATTGTTTTATGAAAACTTTGGGTTTCAAGGACACTAAATTCAAAACTACAGGTTTGAGTTTAGTTATGAATTTCCGGTTCATAAAAGGAGGTACATGTAAGAACACATAATACAATATACAACTAAGTATAGTGGATTTGGGTTGCTTTAGGAACTCAAGTGTGAGTGCTTAGGGACTACAAAATATAGTTAACGGTTCAAAGAAGAGAAATAATTTATTGAATCGTTAATTACCAAAAAGTGGGTTTCAAGCCAATAACATTTTATGTCTTGTCAAATTAATGGACTGCTGGTCACTTTAATGAATTCAATAGATCATAACCATCCAAGTTTGATTGTAGGAACAAAATAATGACGTTCAGGTCATTTAAACTTTAATTGGCTTCGGGCCAAGCGAACAAAATTATCATAATAAGCGTTAACCATGAACACCCTATAATCACCTTGCATTAGCATTCCGTCTGATTGTCCAAGTCTTAAATCTCCTATTTTTCCATTGGTAACGGCTTGTATTAGCTCCAAACACTCCGCATTACTAAACTGTGCAGCTCAAACTCAATCCCCAAGAACTGGTCGCACTTGGAAATGAGCAAGTAATGCTGCTTGATGTTTAGTGTCTAGGGTTGCACGTGTGCTCCTAAGTTTTGTCAGAATTGGAAGGTGAATATCTCAAAATGTGTTTACTTTCCCATGAGATTTTCTACTAAAGGCATCGGCTACTAAGTTCGCATGACTGAGGTGGTACTCGATGGTGCAATCATAGTCATTTATTAATTCTATCCATTGCTGTTATTGGAGGTTCAGTTCATTCTGAGTGAAGATGTATTTGAGGCTCTTGTGGTTAGTGGCACGTTTCCTCACAAAGGTAGTGTCATCAGATTTTTAAAGCAAAGACAATGGCAGCTAGCTCCATATCATGTGTGAGATAGTTCATCTCATGTGGTTTCAGTTGATGAAAGGTATAAGAATGACTTTACCATACTGCATCAACACGCAACCCAAACCATTTAGTGAAGCATCACTATAGATTTCAAATTTACTACTATCGTCGGGAAGAGCAAGGACAGGGGCATGAGTAAGGCAGTACTTCATCTGCTGGAAACTGTTCTCACAGTTATCATTCCATTCAAATTTAATGCCTTTCCTAGTCAACTTTCTGAGAGGTAGAGCTATGGTGGAGAAATCTTTCACAAAACGTCGATAATAACCAGTAAGACTAAGAAAACTTTGTATCTTAGTGACATTTTGCGGACATTCCCAGTTCTCAACTGTTGCAACTTTCTGGGGATCAAGGATCAACAAGAATACCATCAACTGAAATTATGTGCCCAAGGAAAGATACATGATTCAACCAAAAGTGACACTTGCTAAACTTGGCGTACAACTAATTGTCTCAGAGCTTCTTTAAGACTAAGCATAGATGTTTAAATGTCATCCTCGCTTTTAGAATAGATGAGGATGTCGTCAATGACTACTATGACAAATCTGTCAAGGTATAGGTAAAATATCTAGTTCATCAGGTCCAAGAAAGCTGATGGGGCATTCATCAAACTAAATGGCATCACAAGGAATTCATAATGACTATATCAAGTTTAGATTGTTGTCTTGTGAACATCATCACTTTCGATCTTTAATTGATAATAGCCAGATCTAAGATTGATTTTGGAAAATAATTGAGCACCACTTAGTTTATCGAAGAGGTCATTGATTCGAGGAAAAAGATAACGGTTTTTAATCGTTACCCGGTTGAGTTGCTTGTAATCGATGCAAAGTCTCAACGTTTCATCTTTCTTCTTAACAAATAAGACTGAAGCCCCTCATGGGGAAAAAGTACTAGGACAGATGAAACCCTTATTTACAAGTTCTTGTAACTGAGCCTTAAGTTCTCTTAGTTCTGCAAAAGCCATTGTGTAAGGTGCTAGGGAAATTGGATTTGTACCTGGAATTAGATCGATGTTGAATTCTATCTCCTGATCAAGCAACAATTAAGGTAGATCTTATGGGAAAACATCGGGAAATTGGTTGACCATGTCAACA